CCTCCTCCTCCTCCCCGTCATCCTCCTCCTCCTTCTCCTCCTGTTCCTCTTCCTCCTCCTCCTCCTCCTCCTCCTCCTCCTCCTCCTCCTCCTCCTCCTCCTCCTCCTCCCCCTCCCCCTCCTCATCAATGTCCTTATCCCTCGTCCGTTTCCCCCCTGTTTCTCGATTCTCGACCCTCCCTCGGACCACGAACACCTCGGTCCTCGTCTTCCTCGATCCCACTCCCACACCTGAAGTGTCCATAGTTTTCCAATACGCGGTCCCTGGCAGTCTCGACCCTTTCCTCGGGGCGAGCGTTTCATCCCGAGCCGTTCGTCGACGGTTCCGGGGACCAGTAAGAGCCCCTGGAGGCCGAAAACTGTGCCAACCCTTCGTCCTGATTTTTGTCAGGACGCTGCATGTCTGGGCGCATCACCCCCGCCCCCCGCCACGAGACGCCCGGGCCGGCTCCCCCACCATAGAGCTCCAGAGTGGACCGTGCGAGCCCACGGACGAGCAGCACCAGCAGGAGGGGGAGCAAGCAGTGGCAGGGGGGGGAAGGGGGGGGGGGGGGGCGTCCGCGAGATTTGCCTCCGCGGCCTGCGACCGTACCTTGACACGCCCCACTGGCTTTGGCACCTTGAACCATCGGCGCCCACCCTGCGCACCGTCACCCCGATGCCCGGACATCGCCAGTTCCACCCCTGGGCATCACCAGGTCGATGCCCAGGCATCTGCCACGCCCAGCCATGCCCAGCTACGTCCATGGATGCATCCCTCGATGCACGCATAGGCATACCCATCCGGATGCCCAGGCATCAGCAGTGGCACGCCTTGGCATCCACATGGCCTCGCGTAGACATTGTTCTGACCTTGCGAGGACGACTCGCACAACGCCCGTCAGCGGGGCACGCGGGGCGCCGCTGGGCCTCCCGAGCAGAATTACGCAGCCTTGGGGGGAGCGGCACGCGGGCGGAGCAGGCGGCTCCGCCTGTCATCCCCGCTTGAAAGCATAGCATAGTAAACGGCCCGGGGACACCCCGAGGCACTCAGCGCTGGAAAGAGAAACCCATCTGGTTAGCCTTGCAGGCGGCCTGCTCCGCCTTGACAACGTCGTCGAACTCGAGGAAAGCGCCGTGCGCCTTGCTGGCGCCCGCGGATTCGACGCCGGACATCAGGCCCCCAGGCACTTCGGGCTCGATGACGCCAGCGAAAGCGGCGTACACGTCCATCACCTTCGAGGTCGGCGTGGAAACGATCATTTGCCCGATGGCCGCGTTGACGGTCGTTTAGTCCTTCAGGGAGGTCACGCCGTTGGCGTCCATGCTCGTGAGGGCCTAGGCGCACGCCTCGGCACCGGCCTTGAGCGTCCTGGCGCCAATCTTCGAGCCCATGACAATGGCCTTGTCCGCGGCCTTGAGAGCCTGCTTCGCGGTGACCCCATGGGGGCGGCTGGAAGCACAGGTCCGACTTCCAATCGATCTCCTTCAGGAAACGGTGCGAGGCCTCGGACAGCTCCTCCGCAACGGCGCCGATCGCGTCCCCCTTGGCCACGATAGAGCCAACGGCCTGGCTGGTCTGGCTGGCCCTGACGACATCCCTGAACTCGAGAAAACCAGCGCACGCCGCGTCGGACGCGGAACCCTTGGCCATGGACTTCAGGTACGCCGGCACTCCCGGGTGGGCAATGGCGGCGATGGCGTTGTACACGTCCGTCACGGTCTCCTCGGGCGCCGAGGCGATCACGCGGCCGAGGGCGGCGACCACCTCACCCCAGGCCGCGCGCGAAGCTGCGCCGTTCTTGCTCGCGCCGATGTTGAGGATGGCCTTGTGGTTGGCCTCCGCGGCCATCGTGAGCAGCACGGCGTCGGCATTCGCACCCATCACGATCATCTTCTCGATGGCCGTCGTCGCCCCGTCCGCCTGGAACGACCTGGGGGGCTTCAGGTACAGCGGGGCTGTACCGGTCCACGGACTTGGCGAAGTCGTACGAGGCATCACCGATTTTCTTCGCCGCGTAGACGATGGGGGCCGCGAGCACCGCGGCCTGTGCGAGCCCGGCCACGGCGGCCGCAGCGGCGGCGGCCCGGGGCGCGCAGCGGGCTGGGCACGAACGCTCCTGGCGCAGGAGCTGCGTGCCCGCGGGCGCGGCGGCGGCGGCCGCGAGCGCCTTGCCGTGGCGGCGCATGGCGAGAGCTTTCGGATGTCTTACGTAACGAGGCAGGCCGCGCTGAGCTGGAGTCGCCGAGCACAAACCAGGCGAGCCAAAATGGCTACGGACGTGGCTATGCCAAGGCATGCTACGATGATGCGCAGGCATCTGGGTGGGGGGGGTCGAGGTGACGGCTGTGAGCGAAGCGAGCGGGCCGACCCAGTCCGCAGTTTGTGTAAAGGGCCTGGGCGACTGTCCGAGGCCCTCGGAGCGGTGCTCTGCACTGCTGGACCCAAGGCATAAAGACCATTTGTTTTCTCACTTTTTGGACCCGACCACAAACGGCACCACTCCACCTACGGCCCCTCGGGGCTTAGCGTATACCAGGAGATCTGGTGGGCCGTAGCGCAACACGGAATGCCGCAGGTAGGGTGGTGTCGTTTGTTGACGTCAGAAACATAAACTGTTGACGCTCCGCGCAGATTTCTTGGATCCGCGCTGACCCCCTCCCTGGCGCGCAGAGCGCGCCAGGGGCGGCGCCAGAGGCGCCGCTGGGGGGAATCCGCGCGGAGCGCCAAAAGTTTATGTTTATGCAGCTTGCTTTTCTTCGGGTGGTGTCGCCGGTTTTCCAGTCGGCCATGATCGTCGCTCCATCTTCGAACGGTGTCTTCTTCGAATGTCGTCTTCTTATTAGTTGTCTAGGAGGGCACCAACTATACACCAACACCGATCCCGGCCAGGATCACCCTGGGCCCAGGATCGGTGTATACGCCCTCCTGCCTGGGGCAAGAAGGCATATACACCGATCCTGGGCCCAGGGTTGGCCTGGCCAAGATCGGTGTTGGTGTATAGTTGGTACCCTCCGATTGTCTTCTTCTTATTACTATTATTGTTCCTCCTCTTCTTCTTCTTCGAGTGGTGCCTTCCTCGATGCAGGGACGGCCCAAGGAGCAGGCAGGGGGGGGGCTCGGGCGAGCCTCCGCCCACGCCGCCCGCGAGCGGAGCACCTCCCGCGGCCCGCCGCGAGCCGGCGCGGCCCGGCGAGACGAGCGAGGCGAAGAGCAGGAAGCCCCAACCTCCCTCCTCCCTCCTCCCTCCTCCCTCCTCCTCCTCCTCCTCCTCCTCCTCCTCCTCCTCCCTCCTCCTCCTCCTCTTCCTCCTCCTCCTCCTCCTCCTCCTCCTCCTCCTCCTCCTCCTCCTCCTCCTCCTCCTCCTCTCCTCCTCCTCCTCCTCCTCCTCCTCCTCCCTCCTCCTCCTCATCCTCCTCCTCCTCCTCCTCCTCCTCCTCCTCCTCCTCCTCCTCCTCCTCCGCCTCCTCCTCCTCCTCCTCCTCCTCCTCCTCCTCCTCCCCTCCTCCTCCTCCTCCTCCTCCACCTCCTTCCTCCTCCTCCTCCTCCCTCCCTCCCTCCCTCCCTCCCTCCCCTCCCTCCCTCCCTCCCTCCCTCCTCCCTCCCCCCCTCCCTCCCTCCCTCCCTCCCTCCCTCCCTCCCAATCCCTCCTCCTCCCTCCCTCCCTCCTCCTCCTCCTCCTCCTCTCCTCCTCCTCCTCCTCCTCCTCCTCTCTCCTCCCCCTCCTCCTCCTCCTCCTCCTCCTCCTCCTCCTCCTCCTCCTCCTCCTCCTCCTCCTCCCCTCTCCTCCTCCTCCCCTCCTCCTCCTCCTCCTCCTCCCCACAGAGGACGTGCGCGCCCGGCTGTGCAGAGGAGCACGGCCCCTGAGCCCGCGAGGCCGGCCGCGCGACACGAACAGTCGCGCAGTGCGAACTCTCGAAGCCAGCATGGATGCATGTGCGTGTACGTCCTTCTTTCCGCTCCTGAAAGAGGGGAGGGGGACGAAGAGTAACGATCAGAGGAGGAACAGGTACCCATACTGCTACCCCTCCCCTCGTTTTCCCCATGTGGGGCCTCCTGGGAGACCCTCGTCGAAACCGCTGGATTCGTCTCGTCTTGGTCAGAACGCGCCCCGGGCGAGGTCCGGGGAGTAGCGGCATCGATACCGTTTGGTTTCCCCAAGCAAGCAGTGCAGTTATGTTTTTAGCACCTATGCGATGGCGCCGACACTGCGGGTATGTGCCAGGGAGTTCCCAGAGATCCCTGAGATCCCAGGCTCCGAGAAGGGGACGAAGAGGGAGTTCCCAGAGATCCGAGGCTCCGAAAAAGTTGGAGCGGCCAGCTTCTGGATGCTGTGGACTCGGGGGGGCCCTCAACGGGCCCCAGGACCATCAAAAAACTACTCAGGGCGAAAAGCTGGCCCCAGGGAATTCGTCCAGACCTCCAAGGGTCCGCGCATCGAAAAAACTGCAGCGCCAGATGTCGCGGGACGAGCCAAGAGGAGGGGAGGAAGAGGGAGCTGAGCTGGTTTGTGAGGGAGTGCCCAGAGGCCTCACGCGACGAGGCGAGACCCAGTTTTACGTCGGATCCGCGTCGAGTTCACGTCAGACTCGCGTAGGATTCGAGTCGGACTTGCGTGGGGGCGTCGCCGCGCGAACGTCGCCCAGCATCTGGCAGGGCGGGCGTGTGGGCTGAATAACAGAACCACTGCGCGCCACGCGAGGCCTCCGGGACGTTCCTCACGGGTTGGGGAAAGGGCTCGGTGTCCGGCCGATCACTCGGCTGATCACGCCACCCGACCACGTGATCCGATCGCAGCCCCGATCACGATGGCTACCTCGCCGCTCACGGATGGATCACGCACTCGAGCTCGGAAGATCGCGTGATCAACCCGAGCCGATCACGTGCACCAGCGATCACACGGTCCCCTGATCACAACGATACGTGATCGCTAATCGCGTGATCAGCATGCGCTGAGGGGAGGAAGAGGGAGTTGAGTTGGGCACTCCCCGAAGCGGTCCCTCAAATCCCCTGGCGGAAGGCTAGAAGGAGGAGGGAGGAGATGGAGGAGGAAGGATGTTGTCCCTCCTCCACGACAGCGCGAAACAAGCCTGATGCCCCTGTGGTTGTCTCATGAAGCGCGCCGCCGATGAAGGGGGAAACCAGAGGAAGAATCAGGGCGGAGGAGGACGAGGGCGTTGTGCGGCTATTGATATGATATGACCACGCAACAGCAAACAGGAGGGGGAGAAAGAGGGAGAGAGGGGGGAGGCAGAGGGGACAACACAATTCAAACAACAACAAGCCACGCGGCTCGCCGTGAACGACCACGAACGTCCAGACTGCACCGCGCCGCACCAATGGCGCGCAGGAGATGGAGGAAGGAGGGGGCGATAGTGAGAGAATGGCTCAATGTGGGAGGGGAGGGGGGAGGGGAGAGTCCGCCGGACCTTTCGGCTTGCGTGTGAGGGGAAGTCCTGGGGTGGTCGCCCTGGGGTGGTACTGGGATGCGCTTTTCCACTCCAAGCTCTCCCCCACTCTTTCCCTGCTCCCACCCGAGACGAATCCACTCGGGTCACCGTCGAATCGAACGGGATCCACTTCCCCGTGGGTACCCAGGGACCGTGTAAGACTGGTCGGTTCCACCACACTGATATACATACACGTACACCTAGCCTTACGTACAAAGCGTACAAAGAAGAGAGGGAACAGAGATAGAGACTGAGAGGCAAGTGGGCAAATGGATGAACACACAACGAAACGAAAGGCAGGGAACGGAGCGAGTGAGCGCCATAGCGAGAAACCGCAAGCCAAAGGGGGGGATAGAGAGAGAGAGATGGAGGACGAGAGAGAGAGAGATAGACAGGAAGAGAAAGAGAGAGAGAGGGAGACAAAAAGAGAAAGAGTAAGTGAGTGAGCGCGAGGGGGGTCAAACGAAGCCAATTGGCAAATACTACAACTTGCTATACAGGGTGCTACTGATCCATGTTTTCTAATCTATCCCCTTGTCCTGTGCGCTTGCTCGGGCATGCGACGTAGATCAACAAGGACACACACAACTTGAATGCTCTGCGGACTCAAGAATCCGCCACCGTGCCTTCAGCACGTGGAGTGTCCCAAGGCGCATGCAGCCCTGGGAAATTTTGAATTGTAGTCGGAGGTTGGCGGGTGAGATCGCAATGAAACGGAGACCCCCCACCGGGAAATCGGTTTCAGTTTCGTGTTCGTGTCGTGCGTGCGGGCGAGGCGAAGCTGCGCGTGATCCTCCTGCAGCTAAGCCGAAGTAGGAGCGAAAGTCCGTCCGCCCAGCAGCCGGTGGCCGGTTGGGCCGGGCGGTGTCCCAGGTGTCCCGTGGTGGCCGGTGGTGGCCCATGGTGTCCCGTGGTGTCCCTCCCCGTCCGCCGGTGGCTGGTTGGGCCGGGCGATGTCCCGGGTGTCCCGTGGTGGCCCGTGGTGTCCTATGGTGTCCCGTTGAGTGAGATCGATAGTGAGATCGATAGTGAGATCGACACATGTCCCGTGGTGTCCCGTGGTGTTCCGTGGTGTCCCGTGGTGTCCCGTGGTGTCCCGTGGTGTCCCGTGGTGTCCCGTGGTGTCCCGTTGACTGAGATCGATGGTGAGATCGATAGTGAGATCGATAGTGACATCGATACTGAGATCGATGTGGTGCCCCGAGGTGTCCCGTGGTGTCCCGTGGTGTCCAAAAAATTGAGATCGATAGTGAGATCGATAGTGAGATCTATAGGTGTTCCGTGGTGTCCCGAGGTGTCCCATGGTGTCCCGTTGAGTGAGATCGATAGTGAGATCGATACTGAGATCGATACTGAGATCGATGTGGTGCCCCGAGGTGTCCCGTGGTGTCACGTGGTGTCTCAAAAAGTGAGATCAATAGTGAGATCGAAAGTGAGATCGACAAGTGTCCCGTGGTGTCCCGTGGTGTCCCGTTGAGTGAGATCGATAGTGAGATCGATAGTGACATCGATACTGAGATCGATGTGGTGTCCCGAGGTGTCCCGTGGTGTCACGTGGTGTCCTAAGGTGTCCCGTTGAGTGAGATCGATAGTGAGATCGATAGTGAGACCGATAATGAAATCGAGAGGTGTGCCGCGGTGTTCCGTGGTGGCCCGTGGTGGCCCGTGGTGTCCCGTTGAATGAGATCGATAGTGAGATCGATAGTGAGATCGGCACGTGTTCCATGGTCCCGAGGTGTCCCGTGGTGTCCCGTGGTGTCCCGTTGAGTGAGATCGATAGTGAGATCGATCGAGTCAGATTTTGGTTCCCCCCCCTCCCCCCGCCCCCCGCAACCTCCTTCTTACCCGAAGGGTGGTCGTATAGGTATTATACAAAGTT